GTCATACCAAGACTTTTGTCCTGGTGAGAGGCTCCTTGCCTGATCCTACATTTAGCTCAACCATCAACAACTTTGGGCACCAAGAAAATCCTGAGAACAAGGAATCCTGGGGGATCCACATTGTATGATGAAAACTGTAAGACATTGTCAAAAGAAATAGAAATAAGGGACACAATACACAAAGAAGTGAAAAGCTATTCTGTGCTCAGGGATGGGGAGAATTAGTACTATTAACATGGTCATCTTACCTTGTTGTGGCCTTTCTTCCACCTAGGGACTCTGCACCTGTGTGTCATGGTCTCTCTATGCACCTATGTGTGTAAATGATTTGGGTAAGGCACTCCTGAATGACTGCCTTGAGACAATGGCACACGTCAAGAGGTGGCCAGGAAAGCCTAGGTAACTGCTGACTATTGTGTGGTCAGGTCAAAGATGGTCTGGGAATAGCTTGAAAACTACACAAGCATCTGCATGGGAAGCTCTCCCTGTATATGTGACCGACATACCCTCCCCTACTCCTTATATAATTGATAGCTTTGATCACTTTGAAGTCCAGTTCCCCAAAAGATGAATACCCTTTATGTCCCCTGAACTCCCGTTTCTCCTGCCATTGTCATGTAATCACTCATGCTTTTTCACTTTTACTAAATGAATAGCAAGAGGGCTGCTCACTGGAGAGCAGCATCTTGTCTTGCAAACCTGTGCCACAATTTGTCTCTCAGCCATGCACCCCGGGACATGCAGTTACACCCCTGTCATTCAGATCACCTAGAATAACATTCAAGTTTATTATGATAACTATCAACATTTTAAAGGAAAGAGATTTTAAAGGAAAGAGAACAAAAAAAAATGCTAAAATTTAAATAGAGCCACAAAAGACACTAAATAGCAAAGTAATGTTGAGAAAAAAGAAGGAAAATGGAAGCATCACATTATTTGACCTCAAATTTTTTTTTGACCTCAAATTATTTTAAGCATTGTGATAGTGAATAAAAAAGAGAAATACAGGTCAACGGAGTAGAACATATAGTCCCCAAATTAACTTACATGTATATCAAATGCTATTCTACAATAAAGGAGTCTAACCATACCATGGGGAAAGGAAAATATTTTTAACAAATGGTATTGGGAAAATTGGACAGAAACTGCAAAAGAATGAAACTGGACCTCTCTGTAAGTATACACACACACACACCCATTCAAAATGTACTGAAGACTTGGACAAAAGACCTGAAAGCATAATATATAGATAAAATCAAATGATACATCCCGTGATATTAGCCTTAGAGATGTTTTTCAGGAGTCAATCCCAATGTCAAAGGAAATGGAAGCAGATAAAACAAATGGAACAACATCAAGCAAAAAAAACTTCTACATAGCAGAGGAAAATATCAGCAGAACCAAAAGACACGTTCCTGAGTGGGAGAAGATGTTTGCACATAGTATATACAATATGAGGTTCATATCCACAGTATATAACGAACTCATACAAATCAACAACAAAAAACCAGCAACTCAATAAAAATAGGCAGATCTGAGCAGACACATCTCCAAAGA